AGTGAAGCACAAAAAAAGGCCGTTGAAGATATTGGATTTGGAGGCTTGTTAGGGCTCAAATGTAAAGTACTGAGAAGAGATTTGTGCGCTTGGTTGGTTGAACAGTTTGACCCAATATCATGTGTTTTGAACATTCATGGAAAATCCCTTAAGTTGTCTCCCATGAATCTGGAAAATATATTGGGATTGAGATATGGAGGGATAGACGTGAAAACTAGTGGCCCAACCGAAAAAATAAATGAACTGTGCAAGTCAATGTTCACTGGAATGAAGGATATTTCTTTGAAATATTTGAACGAAAAATTACAGGAAATGAAAGAAGATTCACACGATTTTCTCCGTGTCTTTGTGTTATTTTCACTTGGATGTCTACTGTGCCCTTCAACAAAGAACTCCATTAATAATTCATTCCTCCATTTTGTGTTAGAAGTTGGTTCTTTGAGAGAGAAGAACTGGGCGAAGTTGGTATTTGATGCCCTCTTAGATGGAGTGCAACAATATAAGACAAATGAACAAAATAACATTAGTAGTTGTTTACTTATTTTGAAGGTAATGAAATGATTAATTGACATATTAACAAATTTATACATTGTGATTGCAATTATTTTTGTAATTGAGAATAGTTGTTTGTTGTAAGTTTTTTATCTGCAGCATGTCACTCGACAAGGGGTTTCCCTTGTGCCAATTAAAAAGTGTCCAACTATTCTGCATATCGCATCATGGGGTGATGTGGAAATCAAAGAGGGGATGTCACTCTTTAAAAAATTGAAAAGTTGGAAACAGGTAGAGATATCATGTTACAACACTTAAATGATATGTATGTATTTCAATTTGAATATAAATTTTGTATGATGAAAATTGTTATTTTAGGTTCCAATTGTTGGAGTACATCCTATCACTGCGTACCCACCTGAACAAAATATAGTGGCATCTCATGCAGGCGCACCTGAACCAAACATAGTGGCACGTCATGTAGGCGCACCTGAACCAAACATAGTGCCACCTGGTGCCTAGACCGAAGAAAAATCAAATGTATATGTTACAGATGTTATATATGAAACAATATCTATAATTTTGTGTTGAAGAATATAATTTGATATTATTTTTAGTCATTGGAGCGAAGATTTTCTGTCATGGACAAGTCACTGGAGAAAATTATGGGGGAGCAAGAAAATTTATCTACCAAAGTCGCCTCAATGGCATATATGATGCAGAAAATCATGGATGCCATGACAGAACTGAAACATCCCAACTGCCAACATAAATTTGAGAATAAAGGAACCAATGAAGATGAAAAAGCACCGAATGAATCCGACCACGAAAATCGGGCATGAGTCTCACTTCAAATGGTTCAAACACCAGATATAAAGGTCCTGAAAGAAACACCCAGACAAACTTCAAACAAGTTGGTATGCAGACATGACCTTCCACAGGGTTCATGCTCCCACTCTTGCACTCAACAAAAATACACCCCAAAGATTTTGCGAAGAATTTCGAAGAGGAAGCCTTCGAAATACTTGAAATCACCGTTCTACATTTTGAAGGTATGACAGCATTATACCATCCATATTATTATTAAATCCCATTATTTGGTTGTAAATCTGTGTTTTATTTTGTTAACTAGAATGTTCAAAGGAGGAAGTATCTAAAAAATCAGATATTAATGAATATGGATAGATCTACAGAAGATAATGTTCAAAATAAGGATGTGAAGGTAAATGAAAATAATGAAGAGAATGTGGATAATGATGATGAGGATAAGAAGGGAATTAATGATGAAGAGGAGGAGAAGAAAATAAATAAAAATAAGAATAAAGGAACAATTGCAGCAGGGGGATTATTGGATGTCGAGAAGGAGAGTGTGACAACAAGTAAGGCCAACAAAATTACACAAGGCTTGCAGGATCACCACACCCCGAGTGCAAATGCAAGTAAGGTTAACAAAATTACACAAGGTTTGCAAAATCACCACACCCCCACGGTGGTCATCCATGATGTTTGTATTCTATATTTAACATAACACAACTGTCCAATTATTATTAACACTTTGTATTTTATAACTAGACTTCAGATTCTCTGTATTTTATAAGCAGATTTCAGACTCTAGTACTGCGTGGAACCCATCATTAGGTGTGGAGTATCCACTGATCGACGAAATAACTGCTGATGACAAATTGTTTGTCTTCAATTACATATTTAACACATCTCTTGAAATGAGGTATCTACTATATTTTGTTTCCTAAACACTCTATTATTGGATCATTATAAAGTACTAATCCAATTCTTTAATGATACAGTGAGGTATTGGTGAGCATTGAAACTTGTTATGCGTCGAGAGGAGCAATGATTGAAGCCTTAAAACCAACATAATGGCTACTAGATGTTGTGAGTTAGATAGACATTTATTTAGTATAATTTTAATATTGACTAATATGAAAATGTTGTGGCTAACATGATACTGTTGTGAGTTTGATTTTGTATTGTTTGACCTCTTGAAGATATTAAATTGGCACCATATATGATTCCTGAGTCCGTCAAGATTAATCCATTTACTAAAAAGTCATGGTGGTACCTACCAACATGGTTTTCGGTAATAATCCATTTCACATTTATAAATTTAAAAAATATTTTAAACTCTCAATGTCTAATCATAGTTCTCTCCAATACCCAGCAAAAAGTACTCGGTGGAACATACAAAGACAAAACGTTTGAGTTGCTTGAATTCCAAAGATACTTTATTTCACAGTTCAAGGACTATGAAAAGATATGTAGTTGCTCCATTCTTTGAGCTATTCTTTGCTCTATTTATGATGGATCATTTCTACAATAATATCTGCATATATATAATCCTCAATCTTTTTTATGTATAAATGTAGATATATATACCCATCAACGACAACAATATACATTGGTATCTATGCTTAGTTGATGTAGTGGAGCAACAAGTTCTGCTACTTGATTCACTGCCAATGTGGCCCAACGAGCATCGATACATTGCCGTCAAGAATGTGGATAAAGAACTAGACAGAGTCCTTGAACTTGTCGGACCGAACCACATGCCAACATTGATCCACTGGCCCATAACTCAAGTGCAGTGGGCTCCTCGACAGCCTAATAGTCATGATTGTGGAATTTTTGTTATCAAGATGATGAGTGCTCCAATTTTGATTCCATCATTCAGGATTACGGTATAATACGTTTTCTTTTTACTGAACTAAATTTATTTTAACATTTTAATTTGTGAACTCACTTAATATATTGTTGTCTTTGGGAGCAATCAAATCAAATGCGCATGGACTTAGCAATTAATCTAGTTACCCATGTATACAATGAACCAAGAGACATGATTATAACGAAGACACGACAACATTACAAGGATGGCAGTCAGAAAATGATAAACCTGTGGAGATATTAGTTTGGATTGGGCAAATCCAAAAGTTACACTGAGGATATTAGTGCAGTGGGCTCCTCGGCAGCCAAATAGTTATGATTGTGAAATTTTTGTTATGAAGATGATGAGTGCTCCAATTTTGGGTAGCCAAATAGTCATGATTGTGGAATTTTTGTTATAAAGATGATGAGTGCTCCAATTTTGGGTCATCATTTAGAATTACGGTATGATACATATTATTTTTACTAAACAACATGGAATGGAAAATTCCAAAATTTACACCGACTTTTTTTGTATATAGTGTGGACTGGGATACAGTTTTAGGTTCCCAAAGAGGAGGGTCTGCCCTTTCCCAACTATATGAAATATAGTAGAGGTTTTGTAGTCTATTTCATATAGTCTTGGCTGATAATATATTTTGTGGAACAAAATACATTTTTTGGAACCAAACAATTATAATTTTTTATGGTGCATTTTGTCTCAAATTTTGGAGGCTTTACGAGGTCTGGATTTGCTGTTGGGTGCTCTTTTGATTTTGCTGGTATGGGTTCTTTGCCAAGCAGAACAGTGGTCTTAAAGGATCAGAGGAGGTTGGCAATTTTGATAGTGTCATTTTGTAGGCACTGTTGTGGCTGGGTTGATAGCAGGAGGGGTGGATTCAACGTTTTCAAGTGTCTGGTGGTAATGTAAATTCCTTCAAAGCATCTTGAAGGATTAAAGCCAAAAAAGTGTAAAATTGTAATTTGATGCTTGTAAATCTTTGATTATTTCTTTCTTCTTAAAAAAAATTAGAATTGTGCAGGCCATTTTGAGTTAGATAAACATAAACTAGTTCATAATTGTGCGACAAAGTGGGATATAATATGAGTGAATATGATACCTATTACCAATCCTACAATGCACCATACAAATTCATTCGCATTGCAGTTGACATGTGTCATGTTACCTAGTTCTTCATGTGTCATCTGTCCACCGACTTTGTGAGGATTATCATACTTAGAAGCAATATAGTTGGAAAGTGTCACTTATGCATCCTCCCAAGGGGCAAAACTCCTGTACAATGCCCCCACTATACCCTACAACATGTTGATGGCATTTCTCCCATGATGGGTAAATGCCAACAATCCTACCCTTAAAAACAACATACCATTTATGTTGTTTGGTCATTTCCTGGTTCAAAAACAGAGTAAAAAAGTTGAAGATCTTGAAATGAGAGTATAAAAGGAAGGAGATGTAGAAGTAGAAGGAAAGGGATGAAGATGTACCCAGAGGAGAGTAGAAAAAGATGTAGATCCACTGGTCAAGGAATACAAATTTAAGTCTCCTTATATAACGGTTTAAATGGACAATAAGGGCATTTATGTACTTATGCCATGACATGCACTACCATTGTACTCAAAACAATATTCATGTACGCAAAATATCTACTATATTTGTCTATTTCTACCAACCAAAACTCAATCAACAACCATTCTCACCAACCAGTCTATGTACTCCAATCTAATGTCCTCAACATTTTAATTAAAAAATACTTTATACTCCCAGCCACTTGTGAGGTTGAAACAGAGCTGACCAGGAACAAGCCCTCCTTCCACTGTAACCAAATTCATCAAGAAAGGTGGTCATGGTGGATGCATAAGTCAATTTCAGCCAGTGATGATGCATGGCTGATGAATTCCTCCACTCTCTTACAGAATGGTCGGCAATAAATAAAGAGCTGGCCCAGAGCAACAAAAGTTGTTTTTGCTTCACAGACCATAAACTCGTGAGCACTAAAATACATTGATTCAAGTAGAGTAACAAGCTTGTCTTGAAGGATTAAAGCCAACTCCCCAAAGGCCTCTGAAACTGAGACTTCCATAATACGTCCCGGAACTATATCCAAAGAACCTTCGAATTTTGATGGCTCCCAGGGAACAACACTTAATGACTGATCATCTTGACCAATAAGAAGTGGTGAAGAATTGATGCTTTCAGCAGCCAAAGGACTCTCACGTTGGTGGGGTGAGGCCTCAATTTCAAACAAATCAACACTTTTACTATCAGAAAAAGGATCAAACGGAGGAAAAACACCTGCATAAAAAGATATCAATATACACTGATGAATAAGGAATGCTACCAATGTTGATCCCACCGGTGTGAACAATGTGAGAAAAATACAATGAGTGGCCGCTAATCACAGTTCCCCCTCGAACCAGTAAAGCTTGAGCATTCAAATGTTGAAGATGACAAGACCACTTTATTTCATTAACAGCTACACTTTCACATAATTACACATTTCTTTGTTTACAAGCATTTGTCAGCTAAGGAATACATATTTACCTTCGACATCACAGAGTGCTCACAAATCCAGATCATAAGTAGAGCCTCACCCTCAAGTGTCATGTAAACCATTGAGAGCCACGTGTAATTGCACAATTTAACCCTAAAAGCATCTTCAAACCTTTACTCAAATCAGCAATGGTTAGATTTTATTCTTCTTTAAAGATCTAATGGTTATATGATGGTAGTTGGACTACATGATTTTGAAATGATGGTTTCACTGCTAAAGCAAACACAAATATACAACTCATGCAAGAAAATGAGTTGGAACCCATCCCGACAAATTGTAATCCACTCTAGTTGTAACACCAATCCAAAATAGTTGGAACATAATCCATAAAAATTGGAATCACAACCCAAAAGTAGGAACCAAATACAAAAAAAGTAATAACCGTACCCAAACAACGTAAAAACTCCACCAACAAAGGTATATCCCACTCATTCAGTCATTTTCAAAAAATATAAATATAAATATAAATATATATTATATATATGTATATAATATAAAAGTATGAAAAAACCTCCAACTTCCACAAATTAGTATAGCTTACCACAATGACTAAATTAATTAGTTCTTCATATATGAATGCATTACTGCCTTATATATTGTCGCATCTCTCTTAATGTTATTGTCGTGTGTGACCAATTTCAGGCCTAATTCCCTTCGCATTTCTATCATAGGTTCCTACAAGAGCATTTGTAAAACAACATTAACTTCACTCAACCACGCAAAATACAATACTATATTGAAGTTAACAGTAACATTGTAATATCATGTATGCAATAAATTAACACCTTTATAGGGCAATATGGACCCAACTCCGGCTCTTGGATCATCAATATAACATACATACTGCAATCATAGCCATTCTTCTGTACGGGCACCCAATTTGGCCGAATAATTGGCCATTCATGCATTTCTTCCACATCGGTGGTCACCTCACGTATTAGATGGCATAACACCACCACCTATTTGAGGAAACAAATATATTATTTTAATGTGTGAGATGACAGGTACTTCATTACACAAGGCCTAAATAATTTAGGTTGTACAAATGTTACCGTTTTCTTTGCCTGCTGAACTCGTCTCAGATTCCTTTGAGCAGTAGGCAAAGTATCGAGAAGCATGATTTCCTTTTTTGGGACATCTACTATAGTGAGGTACCAATGGGAATTTGCATCATTTTTGGGTAAATATATCTACAACGACACGAATATAATACAATGATAAATGAGAACACACATATATGTACACCATAATTAATGAGGACCTATATAAACTAAAATGAGAATGTCAAACCTTATCACAATTTTTAATCTCACCAATGAAATGGGAAAAAGTTTGTCTAATAATAGAATTTAAGACATTTTTTCCTATATTTTTCCTCGCAATTGTTGTTTGCTGCCAAAACCATTCATTAAGTATATACGATTAACAAACATATATCATGAGTATCACACAACCCAACAATGAGGAGTATGGATACTTTACCGAAAACATTGTTGGGAAGTACCATCTGGCATTTTGGTTGGTGCGATTGATCTTGGTTTCGGGTGACATAACACAGTGAACCATATTTATCACTTGTTAATCAGGACAAAAATAAAATATTGGGTATTGTATACTACTTTAGCAGAATAATTGATGGTATTAATGCATTAAAAATCAATCCAGTTACATCATCAGTTATCCACTCCGTTCCACATAAGGACTGCATTGACTTCCAAGTCACCGAAAATATGGTGTCTTCAAAATCTACAAGAACCTCTCTGCATGTATTGAAATGGTACCAACTTGTCAATGCAGCGTACCAATTATGCTGAAAGAATAATGTTTGATAAATTATGGATTCACTTACGATTTTTTTAAGGAATTGTCGAGTGTGTACTCCCATATTGACTCCTTGTAGCTTCGGAGGATTATTGTTATGTGAGGGTACCCCCCCTCTGGCATATCAATATCATCTTCATCCTGCAATATAATGAACATAATTATCCAATATTACCAGTTAAGGCATTTAGTATTCTAATATCCAAACAATTAAAAAAATATATCATGATTCATTTACGTTGTCGTCGCCATCACCGTCATCATCATCAACATTTTTTATATCCAATTCCTCATCACCTCTTTCATTCTTATTCAATTCCTCAACACCTTCTAATTTGTTATCGATGGCGTTGACTTGGTCGGATAAATTCCTTAATAAGTCCTTTATAGTCGAAAGCTTAACATCAACCCTGAGACACAAATCCCGAAAATCTAATTTTATTGTAGTCTGTGTCACCTCTAATCTGCACAATCTTGAATCAAAATCCTGAACAAAACAAATGAACAATATGTGAACAAAGGAACAATTTGTGAACAAATGAACAATCTAAATTGGGTGTTGCGTAAAACATATGGTAGCAATGGTAGGGTGTTGAGTAATAAACATACATCTGCTTCTACGTTGACGCATGCATCAGTTGATAGTCGATGCTGACACACATCAGTAACCATCAGCTTAATCTACATCAACCATGCAATATACATTTGAAAATAATGTTAGATCTCATTAATATACTAAATAATCCATGATGTGTGTTGTAATGATATGATACAAATGACTTACCTTGTCATTTTTATATCCACCTAACTCCTTTAGCCGCACAAGGTGCGCACCTATTTTTATGTCATCTCATTCTCCAATGTGGGGGCAGGGTCGTGATGTCAAATCAACCAGATTCTCCCCCATAGGTGTGACGTGTTCAAAGAAGAAAATCTAGTTAGAAGACAACAAATAACTAATTATGGATAAGTTAAACCAAAATTAGAAAGAAATAATCAATGAGTATAATACGTCACTATGAGGAGAATAATGCAACCCCTGATACTATTGCGAGGAGCCATCTTGTAGTCACGTACCGCCTGAATCATGTAGTCAAATACAAACTTTGCTCAATTCTTACACTTCAAAGATGCCAAGTCTTCAACAATGGGAAGAAAGTGCTTACAAATTTTAATTTTCATTGATGGGCACAGGAAAACTCCAATAATATACAACACAAATTATCGCCGAAATTGTTGAGAATCTTCTTTCATTTTCTTTATTTTCTTCTCTATATCAATCATTGACAAGAGAACTTTTCCTTCAAAAATTTTCTTAGTAACACAGTTATTCTCGATGTAGATCCGTTGGTTTCCAAATCATCCCCTCCACAATGCAACCCCAAAATGTACTCCACATCCTCAGGACAAAATTTTATAGATTTGTTGAATATGTTCAACAAGCAAGTAATTGGATCAAATTGTTCAAGTAACCACCAGCAAAGCCCCCTCTTAACATTATGGATTTTCAAACTTAACAAGCCCCCCAATCCAATTTCTGCCACCCCGCATTTCTGTTCAGCCGTTAATGTTTCCATTAAGGTTACTACCTTTTAGGGTGAGCATCGGGTTGCAAGTATATTCAACAAAAGTGTGCAACAGTATGACAATTAAATACTAAAATTGTTGAATGTAATGCTTAAAAGAAATGTGAGTTTGCTATTAACTTTTTTAACTGAAGTACTAGAGGTTGCACTCCTTGGCAATGAAATCCTTTTGCACGTGTGATGCTCCACTTGATGTCCAGCTTCAATTTGCCTCTTCTTTGTCCTGTTCAATGCAATATGTTGTTAACCTAATACAAAAGAATCTGAGTATCCCAAAAATATCAACAACAAGTACTTACATTATTGTAATTGTATTCGATAAACAAATAGCCTGCCAAATTTTCCTTTCTCATGGTTAGTAAACAATACACATAAAAGAAACATAATGAAATCATTTACATATTAACTTATCAATATATCTAATAAGTAAGAAGTCATAAACAATAAAATCATACCATAAGCAACCATAAGAAATCTGATCTTAATCAAACATAAGCAGGCATAATGGTTGTAACCTTATCCACACAGGTTGGAACCTAATCCACAAAGCTTGTAACACAATCTAAACCATATCAAACTCCATCAAAAAGTTGTAACCCACCACTCTGAAAATAACCAACCACTCATAAAACTTGTAACCAAACATCCAGACAACTTGTAACCCATGAAAAGTATTTATAAGTTATGACATATAAAATTAAAGATTGTTGGGTCTTCAAGTAATATCTAAATAGAGAGAGGGGGATTTATATTTACCTGTTGTGTGTTGTGTCACACTTGAAGGAATTAACGGGCAGATAATGAGGGGTGAAGCGACCAAGTCTTCAACTTGCTCGTTGATTTAAGTCGAGTTTTCGTGGTAGAAGTTGTAGATGATGTCCCAAATTCATCCATCCATACAAAAACAACTAAAGCCTCATTAGTTTAAGTTCAGCAAATAAAATGTGTAATTTATTATAAACGGGAAAAAAAATATAAATGGGTTACGAAAAACAACCCAAATCACTGACCAAAAATTCAAAGAGACTTCAAAATCAGAAAATATAACACACATATTTTGGAAAGAGAGATATGGGTTTTCGGTGGGGTTTCAATGGGAGCCGAGATAGAGAGATGGATTTTCGTTAGGGTTTCAATGGGAGCCGATAGAGAGAGGAGATAGGTGATACATTCACACACATATAGCGACAGACGTCCATACCTTGTAATGAATTCTTAGAAGAAAGGGTTGAGGGAGATAGATCAAAGGAAGACACAGAGATGGGTAGAGGGAGACAGATCGAAGGAGGAGAGGGAGAGAAGGAAGGGAATTTGTGTGTGGAAGCGGAAGGGAATTTTTATTAACAAAAAATGGGGGAGATATGTTTCAGCCTAAAACATAGTTGAATTTATTGAAAAAAATTTAGCATATGACACTATTAGTAAAGGTTAAAGCAACCCAACAAGTTGAAACCTCACCTACAAAAATTGTAACCAAATCCATAAAAGTTGTATCTAACCCAAATATTATAACCAAATCCATACAAAAGTAGTAACCTTTTGGAACACCATCCTCAGCACTTGGAACCCTCCCAAAAATAGTTCCTTTTTGAAGTGGCTTCCAACATTTATGAATTAGTGTTATAATATTTTGGGGTAAATTATTTTGGTGACAT